CTGCGTTGGCGGGCGGACTCCTCCTCCACCTCGGCGGCTTCTCCAGCTCTTCGGCGGCCACCGGCAGGACCAGCCGGGCTGGGTCAGAGCAGCAGCTGGCGAGTCTTCTCATATGTCCCCAGGAAGATGAAGCCTCCCAGGCTGATGGCTGCCATCCGTGGGACAACACCTGCAAACAAGCTGAAGGCGAAGGAAAGGGGATTTCAGAGGATGAGTGAGGAGCGGATGCTGCATGGCTGGCTGCAGGGGCTTTGGGAAACAAAGCCAAGGAAAATTCTCTCTTGCTGGTTTCTTAAATCCCACCCTGCTGCTCACTGAAGGAACCTGTCTGGGCTTCCCTAACAGAGTACTCCCAAGCCTTGTGATTTTTAACCCCTCTCCACACTCCTCAGGTGCGGAAGCAAAGGTGCAGGAGGCTACAGGCCACGCTGCAGAAAGAGGAGCTCAGACACATCGCCACAAAAGGCCACAGACAGATGGGAAGCGTCCCAGCCTCCACTGCCCCCATCCAGCCTCGGCAGAGGGACCCCTTCTCTCTGCCAGGAGCTCCCCCGCCGCAGAGACAGCCCTGCTCACCGCAGCGGCTCATTCCCAATGACATCCAACGGGGGCCAGCAGGGAGGGAGCAGGAACGGCTGCGTGTTCAGCTGCCACAATTTTTAGGTGCCCTGATCCTAATAGTTCTTGGAAGTTAACAGGAAACTCGTGCAAAGCCAATTGCTCGACACATCTAAGCTCATAGTTGGTTTAACAACATCAGGATAGGCCAGTGTATCCTCCCAGAGGATTACAGGCTTCCTTTGTTGCAAGCAAGGATTAAACATTAGGCTCGAATCTGTTTGGCATCCCCCCGCCGATCTATCGCCTACACGGCAGGAGCCCTTCGCAGCACGCTCTGGCTGAGCTCCGCGGGGACGCTATCCTCGGATTTTTCCGCACGCTGTATGGTCCTGCTAGGAGAGTGTCCACGGTGGGACAAGGTGTAATTCCTGGTGAGACCGGGCTGCGTGGGAGACGCACCACTCCCAGGGCTGCTCAGGAGCTCTCTGCTCCCTGCCTGCGCCCGGCTACTCACGCTGTGCTGGGGAAACCTCTGGCTGCAGTAACTGGTTTTCGTTGTAATGAGCTTTGCTAAGGAGCCTGGAGCACACAGGCAGATGGAAACATTTTATGGCTTTACTAGACAGCAATTGGGTCTATTACCATAATGACAGCTTTAAAACACAGTAATTTGTACAAGGCATGTATGGACAGAGCGCTGATAGAGTAAATCCTATGGTGCAGCATCGCTCGCGAAACGCGCACCATCCTTCTCCCGAATTAGGCAGCCCTCATTACAGGAGCAGTGGCAGACATTCATTTACGGAACAGCCCACTCAAGACACAGCTATTACACAAACAAGGGCAGATAACTGAGTTACCCAGAAGCTGCATCCCTGGCAACCTCTATTACTAACCATCACTTCCAAGAATCCTGGCCCTGGTCTCCCCAGCTTCTCTTTCCCACCTACCACCCATGGCCTCTCGAATCCACGCCAGTGGGCACAGGTCTGCTATCTATTTGTATTTGCTATCTGCTTGTACAGATTTCACCTGGCACCCTGCCACTCCTCTCTCCCTGCCTTGGTCTTCCCTTTTGCTTAAGCAACTATCCCAGTTACTGCTCGGATCCAGCACCAAGGGCTGGAGGGCTTCACCCCCGCCTTCTCATCACCGACAGCTGCAATAAATGCACAGCATGTCAGCGACTGGGAAAGACCAAACGCAAGCTTTCAGGTACAGACGCATCACGCTCTCCCCAGCCGTGCGAGGAACGGCTCGGCAGGGGTCACAAATCCGGGAATCACATTTAAACCCCAGGGTGAGGCCTGGCTGCAGGTGTTATACCCACACCGTGTGCCCCCCCAACAGCGTGCATGCCCTCCAGGGTGCGGCTCTTCGTTTCAGGGTTCCCAGCCCAGCAATACACCTACTCCCATGGTTCCAGCAGCAAAGATGACATTTTTGGGCCACAACTCGGCAACCCAAAGCAAATTCTTTCTCAACAGAGACTAGCCCGGACCCCTGAAGCTACCCTTTGGAAGAGGCACTGCAGGGCCTAGACACAGCATGGAGGGGCCAGCGCTGAACGAGGTGCTGCATGCTCGGCCACAAAAGAGTCCGTATTACTCTCCAGACCAAAGATGTGGCCATGCTAAGAAAAAACATCACTTTCATCTGACTACAGCTTTGCACTGAGCTCACTCCTGTGGGCAGCTTGTGTTTTGCAAAGCCGCAAGCCCTGGGCACCGGGGCTGCTTTTGCCACTCACACTGGCGAGATCCGGCTCCGGAGAGCGGTGTGGTTTGTGCCCGCCGTGCCATGTCCACTCTGACGGGGAAGCTCGGCTGGTGCAAACTGCCAGCTCTGTCCCCATCTACACACATGCTGCGACAAGCCATCTCACCAGATTTATCAGTCAAATAACACTCGTCTTTCTCACCAATGAGTTGTGAAGTTTCATCCACAGCTTTCAAATGCCACCACCTCCTTGCGTGAAAAGCAGTCGGACAAGATGTAAACCTGCTTTCATATGAATGGCTCGTCTACCCTGCTGGCAGGAGCGAAGAGGCACACAGATCCACTCACCCCATCCCTATCCTACCTTCCGCTGCAGGCCTGGCTCTCCCCGGACAGAAAGGGATGTAAAATTTCTTGGCGTGAAGGAGAGGGATTTACTAGGTGCAGACCAGGAAGCTGAGCCCTGCGCTCTGGTTTTAATAAGGTGGCAATAAGCAATGTGTCTTTCTGCCCTCAGAATTCCTCCTCTTCAACTACGAGATTTATTAGAGGAGCCATAAATCATTTCATGTTGCAACTGGCCAAAAAAGCCCGACATTTTTATTGTTTTTGATTAATAGATTTATAATTGGCAGCAGGCATGGCAGCCTCTGCGTTTATTTTTCCCAAGACTTTCTTCCTTTTCCTTGCAGCTGACGCAGCTTGGCCTCCTTTACATGTTACTTTTTCTCCAGATTGCTTATTGTTTTGATTTCAATTGAATTGTGTTCGCTTTGGTCCTAGTCCACGGGTACTATCTTTAGGCAGAGTTTAATTTTGGGTTGTTTAGAAAAGGGCACTGCTGAAACACCCTGAAAAGAACACAAACATACATTTTTATTTTCTGCTGTTGGCTGGGGAAAGGGGGAGGTTTCCCCAGCCAAATCCATGCCTCTTCACACCCTTCAGAGTTCAACTGCCATCAGCAGCAGACGTGGCCTCACCTCTCCCAGTCAATTTCAAAACATGCCCTAGAGTCCACCACCCAAAACTCATCTACCGCCACATCACCTTGTCACCTCAAAGTGCAAACCTGAGACAACCCATCTCTGAGCGCTGCCGGGGGGCACAGCTGGACGTCTTCCTGGAATCGGTGTTCAGGAACTTCCTGCAATTTGTTTTGAATTATTTCCCACATGTGTAGAAAGAGGATTGAACTTTTATTAGTTGTGCGAGCAGAGATCAGATGTTAAGGGAAAATTATCTCCCGCAAAGCTGCGATGTGCATGCTGCTTCGAGCGACAGTTTACAAATGTTAAAACACCACCCTGAAAGTATGGGCCACATCAAGCGGATTGAAAACCTGTGAGAAATTACAGTGAAAAGCCCCAAGTAAAGCATTAAAAAAACCTCTGTTTCTCTTCCAGGCCAAGGGCAGGTGGGACACAAACCCTACTAAAGGAAGCACAGGCTCACGGACCGGAGGAGTTGTTTAAGACGTATATTCACTACAAATGGCCAATAACCGGTATGAGTCACGCACTCAAAGAGGGCGAGATGGCATAAATGAAGCAGGTGTCTGTAAAAATCAATAATAATTTATAAGCCCATAACACCTCAAAATGTTCTACCAACACTAGCAGAGGACTTTTTGTTCACAACACCGCTCCAATGTCAGAAGAGCAATTCTCCATTTCAGGAACAGGTAAAGCAAGGCAGCCAAGAGACTGGATCAACATCACCCCAGACTTCCCCCACCAGTCAGCAGAAAGCCCAGAACATGTCTACACCCTGGTCACAGTAGGAAAGCAGCCAGAGAGCTGCTATGCGGCTGCTCAGGCGTACTCTTTGCACTCAAGCCATCTCAGAAAACTTACATTTTTGCAACAAGTGCCTCACTGGAGAAATCCAAGTGGGCACATGCTCAAGGCCAGACCTGACGGGAGGCTCAAAGGACAAGTCAGGGTGCACATGGCTCCCTTCCTTCTGCTTCAGCTTGTCCTTGCTGCCGGCACCACACTGGCATCGCGTGCTCCGTCACCCTTCACAGTTAAGAACAGCGAATATAAAGGAACAGAGGAGAACCTTGCTGGTGTTTTCAAATCAGTAGGAAATTGCCAGGAGGAAAAAAAAACTGTCCGTAAGGGACATGTGGCTCCTATGTTGGCCTTCCCTAACGTCTCAGGCAGTGTGATTCACACACCTCACGATCAATCTGTGGCACTCACGGCCACAACACATTGTGCATGCCCAAAGTTTAAATGGCTACAAAACACAAATGCACACATTGATGGAGAAAAGTCCATTAAACACAAAGCCACCCTCACCTCCAAAGCCTGGAGCTAAGCTTAGAGATTGTACCACGGATAAATCCCCAATAATGACCCGTTTCTGTGCTCTTCCCTGGACATTGCTCACAGCCAGTGCTAAGGCGAGGACACTAGACCTCTCTGGAGGGACCTTCTTGTTCCTAGCTACCATGGGTACAGCAATTAAAAGTCTTTTCTGTATCACAGGATTTAAATATAAGCAGCCCATCCCATTCTCTCCTGCCCCCAACACAAAGAAACAACACACGAAATGTGCTTCTGCAGCATGTCCTTACCCTGAAAGGCCTTGTGTCCTCCAGATGCCACCGAGGGCAGCCAGAACATTCCCGCTAGCATTGCTGGAACCAGCCTGCACCACAGAAAGAGAGAGATTGGAAACTGCTGGCAGAGAGGTTTAGTTATTTACTGAGCACCCTGTCCCTGGTTAGTGCTACTTTACAGCAGTTACAGACATCCTAATAACCTCCTTACCCCAGGCACAGGCAAAAGCTCCTTGACTCCAGGAATAAGGCAAAGGGCAGAAAGGGAAACCGAGGCACAAAAGAACAAAATGATCACTTCGAGGTCACAGAGCTGGTTAGTTCAGAACTGGGTATCCAGTCCTTTCTGTATGACACTCAACTCTACGTCCAGCAGCTGACACTGGAGTAAGGATTTAATAAAAACACACTCTCAAAGCACCAACAAGCGACTTTGCTGCTCACTGCAAGAGGATTTCCTTGAGGTTTACTTAAAAAACACGAGTAGTGTTTTGCAAGTGAAAATTGCCTTGAGAGCAAAACAGAGGACAAACAGCAGGACTACAGACAATTAAATTTCATGTGTGATCTAGTTAGTGAGAGATAACTAATACAAAGATGCTGTCTGAATGGTCTCAGAACATCCCAAAGCACCATCATTCCCTTACCAATGCAGACCTGGTTGCTCAGCACAGCGGCAGACAGAAATGAAAGCCATTTCTGACAGTTTTACCACCCACACTATCCAAAGGCAAAGAAGCTGCAACAGGTACAACACCCAGCAATGAGATATACACCACATAGCAACATGGCGAGCGCAGATGTGCGTGACTTGGCTGGGGAGGTGCATGGCATCAACAAGAAGCATCCCCATACTGAGGGACATGAGCAATAGGGTAAAAACCATCCATACAAACTCCAGGATGCCTGACCTTTGCCAACACAACAGCTCTTTTCACGGCAGGGAAGGGACGAAGGCTTTTAGCTATGTGGCTGCTTAGCTCTGCTCTGAGGTCAGCAAGATGATGACAGGAACACTAAACGTACTAGCAATTTAACTACTTACTAAACTTACTGATCTTATAAGCAATCTTCCTTCTGCCCTGGTTGGCAGATGTAAGCCATCATGATCTCTGTGCCTTAAAATTTTAGAACAGAAAATCCGGTGCCAAGCCCACCTCAGAAAAGACACACACACACACTCAAGCCCAACCATTATCAAAAAACCAGAGGAATAAATCCCTGATAGGAAGTTTAACTTTGGGCATCTGACTCCGCGAGGATTTTCTCCTAAAGACACTGCACGAGACTCTGCAAGACTCTAGCACAAGCCCTTCTCAGCTCTTTTGTGAAAGGACCAGAAGAGCAATACGCAGAAAGGAACACAACAATTTGATTAGTTCTGCAGGCGGTACCTGTTCACATCTAATCCTGCCTTCGAGGACAAGAGCAGAAATCATTATTAATAGGTGCTGGATTTCATTCTGTAATGACCATACAGAAACTCTGGAACTACCCAAGCCATTCACCTGTGTGTCTGCTGGCCTTCTTTGCTCTTACCTTTGCCAACATAATTCTCGTCTTTGCTACATCGAGAGGTGTGGTGACTGCAGCTGCAAATCCACCTGAGCAAATTAAAATACCAAACACAAGTGAGACATTGTTGGTTGAATATGAATGCCACACTGCCTATAATTCCCATGACTGTTGTCAACACTGCTCCATTATTAATGCCTACAGCATGTTTCCTCACGTCAGAGTCCAGGTACATTTGTTGAAGGTCTGTACACAGAGTGTTTTATTCCTGTGTGTTGACTTAAGGAAAACAGCTCTATATTAGTTAACTGTAAATCCAAACACCCCATTGAGATTACTGTCCTTTTATTTTGGACTCTGTACATATGTGAACATATGAAGGTCGTAAGGATAATGGATTCCACTTCCAACACCTACAGACAAGTCTGAAAGGAAGAACCTGCTTACTCGTTTGCAGAGATCGGAAAATAAGCTCATCACACTGTGCTCTGCCTTGAGAATTAAAGTCTGACCATTCAAATGCTAGAAAAATAGAAAGAGAAGAAAGATGCTCTGCATCTGAAACACACATGCTTCAGGGGCAAAGCTATCCAGAAGATACAGACAGACTGGATCTGGACTTCAACTGTTAGACCTGGGATTCTGTTTCAAGGAAAAAAGACAAGCCAGTGTTTGGGATGGAGCTCATCTCCAACGAATGAAATCAGCTCCATTTTGGAAAACAACAATGTGAAGCTGCCCAAGGGTCTTTGGAAATTGTCAGAAATCTGCTGCCACAAGTGCCATCTTCCCCTCACGGATATTTTTATTCTCTCTAATCACTCCCAAACTTCACCCTTGGAGCTCATTACTTTCACTTGGAGCAGCCAGCTCAGCTGTGGCTTTCCTCCTGAAAGCCAGAAATCTTCAGCTTATCCATCTGCATGTCTCACCCACAAACGTGTGTGTGTGTGTGTCTCCATATTTTAACCCTGTGGCTACAGCCTGGCCTCCTGTGCTATCTAGGGACCAGCTTCGCTGCTTTTTCTCCCAGGATCTTATTCCCTTTGCCTTATTTCCCCATCCTAAAATTAACTCTAATCTCTCTCTCCCTCCTCAGTTCACAACATTTCAAGCAAGTAATTCATGCTGAGGAGGAGCCAAAGTGAAGGAAACTTCTAAAATGCAGAAGCAGCCCAGCAGTAAGTGAAGAAAGAAAGGGGAAGAAAGGGGGGGAGAAAAGAGAGAGAGACTTGTTCTGAAATCTTTCTTTCTTCTTCCTCTTGTTTTTTTTCTCTGGAGCTTGTATAAATCCTGTATCTGCTACAGCAGGGAACAAAGTGACTCCAAAGACTGAAGCCTACACAGTACCCAGGGAATAAGCTAAAAATAATCTATTTTCTGTTCCAAGTTTTATGGAATGTAGAAAAATTGATCTCTTTTTTCTTGGGATGGGAGAGGGGAAAAGCATTTCTTTTAAAACCTGTAAAGTAATGAAAAAATCCATCTTCCCCACTGGCTTGTGCTTTTACCTGCATCTCTCTTCTCTCAACCACCTTAGCTTTAACATATTAAAACCCTGCTTTATGTCAGAAAGGAGGTTGGGCCAGCTGGCACCCTACATTGACTTCTTACAGTTAATTAAGGAATGTCCCGTGACAGTTCAGGAGATGCAGTAAGGCACATGTGCAGTCCCCTGGATATCAAACAAGAATAGCAGGCAAGCCAAGTTAGCGAACAGCCCAAAACGCTGGGTTTAGGAGCAGCTGCTGCTCACGTAAGGTCGGCCCATCCGGTTCACTCTGCCGGAAGCTTTCTAGCAGTGATACCTCACTAAAAAGCAGAAAAATGGGTTGTGTTCAAGAAGCCAAAGCAGAAACTATGACCAAGTTAAACTAAAGTCCAGCCCATGCTTGGACCTTCTTTAAGGTCAAAAATCTTTTTATTGTGAGCCAGTTTTTGAGTAAGTGACCCAAAGGCTTTGAGAGAATGGTCTGGATAGAAACTTTGGTACTCAACAATGTATTTTTAGAACAGTAAAAATAATCTCCATGGAAAATAGTGGCTTTACAAGTCTGGATGTAGAAGCCCTTCCTTTGCCCACAGACCAAGATAAAATTAAACAGTGAACCACATGGCTGTCAGGCCTGTATCAAGCAAAAAATCTCAATGCATCACTCAGCTATAGAGTTGACAGTAACACTTTAATTCCCTTATCACATCCTGGTAATTTTTTATGCATTTGTTTCTAACAGTTTCTTACTGGCAGAAGCTTCAATCTTGGCTGATAGAGTGATTAGAACAAACACAATTTATCCTGATATGATGTTCCCAAATTCTTATCTAAAAGGTTTAATCAAGGCTGATTGGTTTTCATTTTTTCCCCAGCTAACATCTGGATCTTTCAGGCTTTTTTGTTAACATTTCAATGCTTCTTTTTCCATCCACTGGGAAGTATTTGGTACAGATTTACCAATCAATTCAGAATGACAACAGCAACAATAAAATGCTTCATAAGCACAACAAGCAGCAGGATAGCGGCTAAATTAAATGCAAGTTTGTGTATGCTTTACAAAAACACAAGATTAAAGCTAGCATTTGTTGGGAACTGCATTTTATTGAAGGCAGTGAGTCTGACAAAATGAATTTGCTCCAGCCTTAACCCTAAACGTCCAAGGTAATTTTAGAGTGACCTCTTCAACATTAGTACACAGGTATCTAAGAACAGGCTACAGCGCTAGTGAGGTACTGCTCAGTCCAACCTACTCTAGCTGGGTAAAGGAACTTAAACCATGACTGTTTCCAATCATCAGATTAATACAACAGATACAAACTAGTACAGCCAGAGTCTACTCCTTCAAAATAGGAGGGCTATTGTGCACTGTGCACTGCACTGTCTAGTACACAGTAAGGCCCAACACATCTTTAAATCACTCCTTTAGTCTATTCCTGCTAGAACTGCCACATAAGCCTGGAGTCTGCTCAACTAGTCAGCAACCAGGAAAAGCAGGTATCAAAGTATCAGGTGGGCAAGAAAGGCCCAGACACAGCCAGTGTTAACACTCCTAATCATTCCAGCTTCTCTGCAGAGCTAACAGAGAAAAAGGCACCTTTGCAGGCAGTCTGCACCCAGACAGACAGACTCACCAACTCGTTCCTGGAGAAGGTTCCTTTCTCCCTTGCCCTAGAAGGATCTGGTGATGACTTGGGCTCAGCAAGTAGACATAAAGATGGATTTTCACAAGTGAGAAGGCTCTTGGCTTGTTAATACTTCTAGCAGAGTGACAAAGTCCTCTATTGGGAAAATAAAACTTCATGCTGTAGTGGAAAATTCATCACCTGTCTCCCAAGAAGTTACAATGGACACTGTATATTCACACGTCAGCTGAGCAGCTAAACTTTACCAAACTCAGGGTGTTAAGCAGAAAATCCCTCTGCTACTCACACTTTCCCAGTGACCAGTTCTTGATGGAAGCGCTAGTGACAGACATCTGCAGAGAATGCTTTACCTTTATTTGGCAATAAGAACAAAAAGTCTTGAAGACTTAAGATATTCCCCTAGGTTCCTGCTGGCATTTCCTATCCTTTTTAGCTGTCATATGCAAATGAAAATTGAGAAGCATCAGAATAGAGTGAAATACTTCACCTGAGAACAATACATAACCCTAGGTCCTCGCAGTAAGGTGGCTGCCTGCAGAATTTGCTGCTGCTGCTATAGGAAAATGTTTCATGGGTTCTTTGATGCACTCCTCAAATAAGATCCTATGAAGGGAGGAAAACAAGTTCTTCTTCAGTCCCCGTATCTTTTTTTTCAGTACCATTTTAACTTCTCCTCACCCTTTCTAAAGAGTCAAGGGAACCCTTCAGGCCATCACAGGGGCTCCTCCTGATTCTGTATTTCTGTCATCTGGCCAGACCCCTAGCACTCTTTTCTGCAACACCAGCCCAGTTTGGTAGGTCAAGCTCATTTCAAGAGACAGGAACTTGTGCTTGACTAATGCCCTTGTTTGAATTAGCCCACCTTAGGAAAAGAAGAAAATGCAGGTTGAGCTGTATTATTGCCTGTCCTCATTACTATTTTCTGTACTGACATCTGAAGGTTACCCAGGACCGATTCAGGATTGAATCCCAAATCTGGGTTGAAAAACTGAATCGCACAGGTCCAATACTAAACCTCACAGCATCCTCTTACACTGACTGATTTCCAAGTTCATAAACGGTCTTTTTCAGAACTCTTTAATCAATCAGTTCTTATTTGAACTTTTATTTTATTGGTATTACATTAAATTTTTTTGAGAGGAAGTTTATTCTGGTCCTTTATCACTGTGGGAACAACACCCACCAATGGTAGAGCAAAGAAACCCAAGAACCTCTTTGAATTTCAGCAGAAATACCAAGAGGCAAAGCACTGCTCCTCCAGCAATATAACCAATTCAGGTTAGAAGCATGGTCTAAGCAGACACTGCAGGGAAATCTTGAGAACTATTCAAAAATTTATTCAGAGCTATAGAGTTAAAGAGGCTTTTAGACACAGTGTGTAATCTTGTCAGAGCCGATTAGATCAAAACAAAACTGATGGGAAGTCTTCCCTGTTAATGTGCAAAAAGCTCTCGTTAGTGCTTTATTATTCACTAGGCTTGCACCTCCATTCTCGGTGACTTTGTCACCACAGAGCATTAATTATTAATGTTAAGCCACAGTTTTTTACAGTAGGGAGAAAGAAGGCGTCTTTAACAGAGGCAATTTTCAATCACATTAAATGGATGCTCAGGTTCTTTGAGAAGCTGGAGCTGCCCCACTGCTCCAGGGCAGGACTTTGCTTTCCCAACAGCCAATGCCCAATGGCAGGATTTCCTTGCCACTGGCCCAGTTCCACACAGGGCATACAAAAACCACCCAGAGGCTCTCCTGGGACAGCCTGCCTTGGTACGTTGCAGGGTTGGGATGCAGTGGTCCAGACAGACAGCCTAAGCCCAGAGAAGACTCTGGCTTGGGGTGCAACCACTATCATGCCTGGCCTGCCTGCAGCATGGGGACATGCTTCCCTCCTCTGCCTCCAGCCTGCCAAAGCCAGTGCCCAAATCTGGACTGGTGTCCAAACAGCCCAGGCATGAGGCAAGGTTTGGTTCAAATGCAACCTTGGGTTTAAAATACCATGTACATCTACCCTTGGGTTCCTCCCCACCGACTGCCCAGATATCACCTTCTCTCACTCCCCGACTGCTCCAAACATCTCCTCTAGTTAAGACACCAGAGATGATGATAAAGCTGGACAAGGCCTCCAGGGATTAAATTATTAACAGATGAAACAGAGAGGATTCCAAATCTCTGATATTTATGCTCATGCCTATTACGTTTCTATAAAAAGCCCATGGATCGCATACATACATCTTACACATGTGCGCTCAACAAGGAAGAGCCGGGCCTCTCACAGCACTTTGGCTGAAATCACTGCCATTTCACAGGCACTGGGGACGAAATTCAATATATTGTTGCTCTTTGTTCTGTCTTCGCCAAATAATCAGTTATGATTTAGCTAGGAAGTAACCAACACACATAGACACACACATATATGTGTGTGCGCGCCATAAAGGGAAGCCAAACAGGACTTTTCTTTCAGTTTGTTTCAGCTTATTACTCTGCCCCTCAGGACCTCTAACGTATTTTTAGAAAGTATTGAATTCAAGCAAAGAACACAGGAGAAAAGCATGTCTGTGTGATTTCACCATCCCACTACTACCATGGTGGCATTTGACAGCATCTCTGTGTTTAAAGGTTGTTTTTTGGATAATCTTCTCCTTTTAAGGTTTATATTACATGATGATTTTAAATCACTCGGATGCACATATCCATCTTATTTTATTCACAGGGTACTGGTGAGGTTTTGATTGCTTTGTTTTGGGGTGGAAAGAAAGGGATAAAGAGTTTGGTCTGGTTTTTCTTCCCTCATTTGAAGCTATATGTAGGTAGTTAATTTTTAACTGTGGAATCCATTCTTCAGAAAGCAGGAAATTATTTTTCCACTGCCTCCATTCAGCAAGACGGCTAAATATTTTCACTGAAACAGAATGGATGCAGTACCGGATTAGATCAATACAGGGCCTGCCTGTTATACGTCTGCAGAGGGAGGCAATGGAGATGGAAGGAGAAGGTTCTGATCCAAAAAGGGTTGAACCTCCTAAGTTTTGAAGCAGGTCTCAAAGGAGACATGAGAGAGAAAGGTTAAAATACTGTTGGTGAAAAGGAAAGAATGGGGAAAGAAAGAACAAAGAAGGAAAACCAGGCTGGAGGAAGTGAAGCTAGAAGGATAATGCAGAATATGTATCATCACCAATTACAACACAATCTACAAAATAGCACTCCAGCTCTGCAAAGATTTATGCTTGGGCAATAGAGCCTATGAAGACATCCAGGCTGAATTACCTCATCTACTACCACCATGAACGTGGAAGTCTCTGTGCTGCTCCACAGAGGACCCGGTGTGTCCTTCAGCACTAAGCGTTAGGTCTCCCCAGTGCCTGCCAAAGGGCAGCGAAGCGTTCATGCACAACTGTGCCTCTGGAAGCTCCTTCTGCAACGTTTCTGCTAGAAAGCGAGCGGACACTACCGCACATCCATCAAAGAGTAGCATGTCCAAGCACAACTGGTCAGAATCAAGACATACAGAGGAAGAAATGGAGGCACTGGGCTAAACTTCCAATTGAGGCACCAAATTGGACTTCAGGAAATTACTCCGCAAGGCCTTGGGTAAATCAGATAACCTTTCCAGCTCTCTGAACATGCCTGAACACAGTTATTTCAGTTATTGTATCAATCTGACTGTAAAGAAATCAACAGAGCTAAATTAATGATCCCCTATCACACCTGCAGACTTAAGATTGCATTTTAAAGCATTTTTAGTCTGATAGCTTGTTTTGTTTCAAAACAAAAATGAACGATCTGCTTCAATTGCTCAGATTTTGTTTGCATGGATTTGATGAAGTCAGTGTAAAATCCAATAGTAGACCAAATTTTAAGCAGAATAAAACTCCCTTCCCATCACATAAACATAGAAAATACAGCTGGGCAAGACCACAAGAGATCATCTAAAATATTCCCTCTGTCCCCAAATGGAATCAATTCTACCTAAACCATTCCCTCACAGCTCACATACCCAATCTACTAAACCGTGTGCAGTTACAGCCATGCACCCTCTCTTAGTCGTGCAGTTACAGCGCCCATCAAAATGAAGCCTCAGTCTCTGCTGGAATTCTGCTGCTATTAATACTTCAATTCCCCTAACAGAGCTTATTTTAAAAAAATTACATACGATGTAATAGCTCTGATTTTGTAAGCCATCAAAGAACAAGCTTTGCTTTTGATAATCTCTATTTCAAGAAAAGCTATAATTTCTCTTTAAACAGGATTTATTTTTTCCACATACTCTGTTACTGGTTTGGAATCTCAAAATGTGTTTTAGCTCCTTGGGGAAAAGCTCTGGCTATCCATCTCTTAACTACTAATCTGTTTTTTCTATTAAGACAGTTGAGTCTCTCCTCCCTCAAACTTGTCAGCTATACTGATGAGTCATTAATTGATTTTTTTTTCTCTTTTTTTTTTTTTTTTTTGAAACAACTACAGTAGGCTGAAATCAAGCAAGAAGCCTACTGAAGAATTCAATTAACTTCTGGCTTGTTTGGTAATAAATAGTGCAGTATTGTATTCTGCCACTCTTTATTCTTGTTCTAGTGTCTGGAGATTGCCCAGATGTTTCGTCCTCCGTTTTTTTTTGCTGCGGAAGGCTTTTGCCTCCGGGCTGTGCAGTGCTAGCCTCTGCTCTCCTGACTCTAGTTAATCTACATGGCTGTCAGAGCTGTCACATGAATGGTGAATCATGGCCTCTTGCTGCAATCACTTCAACCCCTGGGGAAGTGCTCAGAGCAGACAGCTGCACAAACCCCCACCCAAGCAAAGTTTCTCCTGGATGAGGATTTTACAAATCAACTTTGAAATAATCGCAAAGCCTGACTGACAGGCCCCTGGTTTTTAAATAACAGAAATTTGTCAAAAACAAATTGGTTGTCTTTCAAACAGACACCCTGTTTGAGTCTTTTTTTTTTACCCCTTCTCTCTCCTTTGCTGACTTTCCTATTTCCAGACAACAACTGGATCCGTTTTCTTCTAAACAAACTTGAATTACAAAGGAATGTTGTTCTGCTATACTTAATAGATTTGCACATTTTTCCCTTTCTTCTTTAGTCTTTCCCAGTATAACATATAATCCTTTGCACCTGCAAAAGCTCCACAGACTGCTGACTGCCAAGAATCCACCACGTGACCCCGCTTCCATGACCAGAGATCCTGTGTTTAAAGAGAAAGGAAAATAAAAAGTTATTAAATGTTTGAATCTATCTGATCCCCATGTGAGTTAACTCCAAGGATGGGAACTTAAGTGAAAAGCTATTTTTGTGGCATTTTTCAGTGATGTAATAAGTGATTTTTCCCAAGGAACTTGTGTACTTGAACGAGCAGATGGAGTCAGAAAGATGTCTGGAACTAAGGAGGGCTTGAAGCAAATTGCTTTCAGGGATTTCATATGCATGTATTTAAGCCTGTGGCCATGCAACTTTGCAAATATTTTGTGAATTTATTTTCTTTTTGGCAAATAAAACAGTGCAAAGCAAAACACTGAGCGGGGAGGCAGCATGCAAGAACCAATACCACTTCAGCCCATTTAAAATGAACAGTCCCCAGCGCAGTGAGACACAAGTCCTGTTTGCTCTCCTACATTTCTTAAACCAACCCTTCCCCTCGCACTCCTAAAAAAACCCCATCGTTAAGAAATTACTCTTATCACTCCCATTATATCCCAAAGCAGGTGTGTCTCTGTTTTCCACTTGGCGTCATTAGGGACCACACACCCTTCTCTCCACTGCTCCCACACACCATGCTCCAATCCATTTAACTCACAGCATCATTTAAACATGCACATTTAAAACCACCACCAAGAATGGTGCCTTTCAAAAAACACATATCAAGAATCATGTCAAACAGTTTGATGAGTCAGATCGGTATCAGCAACAAAGGCCAATGTATGCTGGGATGGTTTTTATTATGCCAGCTACGGTCACTTTGCTCTCTCCTCCTCCACCACTCCATCACCCCTTTCCCATCTCCTGAAATGCTTAACACTGGAAGTTCTCTGGAGGAGAATTTTCTGGTTTATGATTTGAGGACCAGTGCTGAGCAAAAAGGGATGGGATCCATGGCCCTTCTCACGGCTACCACAGAGAAATCAGTAATTTTATTTTATAGCTGTGGCACTATCTCATTCTTTTTAAAGCCGTATTACTTCTATACCATAAAATCTTCTTGAAAGCAACCTGATAGCTGTGCTAAGCTGAGATATTGCTCTCAGGCTCCCAGTCTGCAGTACAGCCACTTTCCACCAGGGCACAAAAACTCCCTTCTCTCATTTGCTGACTCTTCATTTAACACGTTGTCCTTGCAACTTGCTTCTTCCAACTTGGCTGCTGGTTATATTTCAGTTGAATGTTTTAAAAATCAAACTGTTCAAGCAACAATGGCCAGCCACAATGTTGTTTGGTATCCTGCCACAGCTAAATAGCTGCAGCTCTGCTGTACGAAAGCACTAAAGGGATTTCAGTCTCTTTAATGCTAGCCATTCTTTTCCTGGTGTTTTCAGTATGGGCTTCTATTCTGCTGTCACCCACAGCAGAAACTGATTTTCATCTTCTAAATAAATAAATAGGGATTCATAATTCTTCAAACTCGTAAGATGCTTTTCTGGAATAACTTACACTCTTTGGAGACACAGTTTTCTTGCGAATCGGTCCTGCTGGATGAAGGACACACGCCCCCCTAAGACAAAGGGTGCCACGCTCCAAAGCATCTAGGTATTGTTGAAGTATAAATCCCACCTTCAAAACCCATTTTCAAAACACTTCAGGTGCTTAAGAAATCTCAAATTGAAAGTCAGGGTTTAGAACTTCAACTGCTGGAGCCACTTGGTAAAACCAGAATTACTGTATTTTTAAATTAAATGTTCTCCAAATGTGTATACACCTACAACTAAACCCGAGAACTCAGAACAGTAACTTCTGTCATGCAAAAAGCACTGTGGAAGATTGCTGGAGGACTATGAGGAAAACCAGCACATTAATACAGACATTCACGGCTTTGCCAGAAGCCCAGCCAATTCTCAGTCATGCTGGGGTTTTATGGTAATGGCATTGTCCAAAGAAGTAGGAAAAGGTCACTCTTATTTGTTGGCATGTAGCTCTGAAATCTAGTTGCTGATAAAGCCTGGCTTCCCAGTACAGTTCTGCACAAAGAGCCTTTGCCAAGCAAGACAAACGGTAATGAATTCCCATCCATTATGCCTGCAAATTGACAACAGGTATTTGCAACAGTCATGCAATACGGAAAATTGTTTAGAAGGGTGGAGCCAGGAACAGTTCAATTAAATTAGGGAAAAGGAGAATTGAGGCTGGAGAACAGGAAGAAAATTCCCCAACAGTGAGGTCTACTAAACAGCGGAGCCAGCCTCCCTAGGGAGGAGAGGAAAGCCCTCTCCTTTGAGTCATTTAAAAATAGAACTGGAGAAGGCACTCAAGACTGTACTGTGGGGAATAATCCTGCTTTGGCAAGGGCAGGATGAGATGACTTCATGCATTTCTTTCCATCTCTGATTTCGGTGATTCACCCAGAGCTCCAAACCTGAACATGCCGAAGAGCAAGAGAGAAGCAGGGCGTGAGGACATTATCCCGGAGGAAGCCGAGAGGAGAAAGTGTCACAGGACCAAGAGGACCGGCAGGACTCTGGCCCAAATTCTTTCTAACCACACTCACGCTTCGGGCCAAGATGATGTGCTGAAGGTCACACATGTTTTCTCTCATAGCCCATGGACCCACTAATTGACAGGGCTTTGTGGTAAGTTGGGCTTCTAAGTTCTTCAAAAACACTCGCCTTTGTGCTGCGCTGAGTATGGTTTTAATACTATTAACACAGGGCAAAGCACAGAAGCTATCAGAGGCTTGTAGATATAGGTAATAACAACACCACTGTAAAACTGGGGCTGCATTCTTGAAATACTGGCTTTATACACATATCCCTAAAACATCGACTTTGGACAGAACACTGGTTATTTGCAGTGATGCAGTGCCTAGATCACGCTCCGCCATCCTAGATGTGCACAAATTCATAAGAGCCTTCCCTCAGTCACTTCCAGTCAGGGGGATAATGGCGAGAGCTCAGGTCACACAGAAGATGGGTGTCAGAGGCAGGTTTAGAGCCCATGGGCCACTGCTCCCTGCTTGGGGCCTCCAAACAGGGCAGAAGTGTCCACATAACGCCTGCAGAAGCCCTGCAATTATGCTGCTTTTCCTACACATGCTCTTTCAATATAAAACATAAACCAGGAATTACGAGCAATACGACTGCAACAATTGCATCAGCCTGGTTTCCCCACCACCACCACCAAATGGCTCCTACCTGCTTACACTGTGCTCCTCCTGCAGAAGGCAGCAGGAGATAACGAGACTTTTCCAGGGCAATACCCATTCCCACTACTATTCACAGCCTAGGAAAGCAAAATGACAAGGAGCACATTACATGAAAGCGGGCCGCCATGCCAAGCCTGTGTCATGTGTATTCTATTAGGCTGAAGGCTGAATAGAAGACTTTGTTTTCCACTTCAAAGGACCCCATCCCAATCTCTCGCTCTTCCCTTATGAATAACAAATTGGAAATAAATCTTCTGGCTGAAGCGCATGGAAACTCGTACAGTTGGGGCCCTCTGCAGCTTCCCAGCTCAATCACATGCTAATTTTTTTTGTAAACACTTTTATGTGATATGTATGTAAATCTCGCTGTGCATTGCCGCACCGTGTAAAGCAACACAGTGGGTGTGTCCTCAAGGGATGGGACACAGTGGGAAGCCTGAATGCACATTTCCAATTATTCACAGGGATAATGTTTGCAGAGAAGGGTCAAGTTTTCTACGTCGGCAGAACCTTACTTTTCTTCCTAACAATCCCATTTCATAGGCCAGTGTCCTCTACTTCTCACCACAAATGTTATTTAGCTCTTTTCATACTGAGAATACAAGGACACCCCATTTTTCTAGGCAGAAGGCACACTGGAAAAGTCACTCTTAGGATATACCAAAGGCCTTTCAATCTAAAAAACAAAGAAAAAAAGAAAAGATTACCACTGCTTTTAAATACAGAGGGGAAGTATATGGTGCCCACAAACATGGGCTCCTCATGTGTTGAGGACACCTGGCCTCCAGATGGCCAATAACCTTTAACTAGTTCACACAACTCCTTACCTGTGCGTGCCTGTCACCTTTGCCTTACGTTTGTGGTAAAAGTTTGGGGTAGAGATCATCCGTCAGCTTTGTGCACCCAACGCAGTTGTGTCTTGGTCTATATTCAGGACACCTATGCTATGGTGATCCTGGGAAAGTGCAACACTCGCATCTCTCTCAAACCTGATGACCAGACCAACACCCCAAACGCTGCAGGAAGCATCGCAGAGAATGAGACAACTCTGCCTCGGCCTTGCTATTCTTCAGGCACTAAGAGGCTAGCAGACCTCATGGCATACACTAAACTTAAGGCCTGCACCTGAGTAAATATTACAGTTCACTCCAATCATAAGCATCTGTAGTATTTCTACATACCCCTCTGTTCAAGGCAGTGTTCTACTTCATGATAACAGAGCAGAGAAAAATCTCTCCAAATTAATCACACGGATTTGTGTGCATGTGCAGTCCTGCAGACTGAGGAAAGAAAAGCAATTTTCATGCTTGCCTTTGCTACTAGGTATTTTACTTGCAACGTGGCATTCTGCATGGCTGATCCTTACAGATGCATGGCACATTAGCTACAGGAGAAGCAAAAAATTCATAAGCTGATTGCCGTTTCTATACATAAAGTCAAAAAGCATAGAGCCAAACGTCTTCCCTAGTGAATTTTTATGTGCATATGTGCAGCATATGTGCAGTACATGTGCGTATTATCTTGCAGGAAACATGCAAGCCCAAACATGGGAAAAATTCAATGATCTAAGTTCACTGTTAACATAAACGTTGAGACTCCATCCACACTAATGGCGTTGTGCTCACTTAGGCCAGTACTGAATTTGGCCCTAGAATTAAACCCACTCAAATCCTAGAAAAATTGAGAGAAAGAGAACAAAAGTTGGCCTACATGCAACAGCATATTTTTCATGTTAAAAGCACTTCACTCCCTTTTTCTCCCCATATAATACTGCATTGATGTCTGTGACCCATTTGGACGTAAATCAAAATGGATGTGCTAAAAGCCTGGTTAAA